TTGGGTACATTGACAAACAAAATGAGGCCCATGTTTGATGCTGCAATAGCCATCAAACAATAAAAATCAACCGTAGCCCTTAAGTACACACAACAAATAAGATTTGTAGGAGTACCAGTATCAATAACAAAACTTAACAACAAAATGATTATTAGAGAACCTAACCAAAAATAATCCTGATGTATTGGGGACCAAAGTCTTTTGGACAGAGGTGGATGTGATTGATAATTTGGTTGCAGATGAGGGAAGTAGAGAGAGGAAAAGGCATTTACCCTGTCTAGTGTAGTATCCCCTCTCTCTCCGGACCCAATGCTAGCACAGGACATCCACCAGAGACAGACACAGAACATGCAACACAGAGCACTGAACACAGACTTTGTCGCGACACTATAACCATGGTATTTTTATAACTCTTCAGCTGGTACCAGCTCTCCTGATGTTCTGGTTTGGAGGCTGAAAGATAGATGCTTAGAAACAAATTAGCACAGTGCTCCCACCACGGCAGACCCTGCTCGTTTGAGTTGTCCATGGTGTCTGGGGTCCGGCCACCGGGAATCTGGATCCGGGGGATCCTGATCATACCAGATATCCCTGTCCCAATCGTTATATGGTCCTGCACCCCCCTGGGCTTTCACCCCAATGGCGATGACCAGGACTGAATAAGGCCCCCGGACCCTGTTCTCCTGGGCGGACCCCTTCAGGACCAGATCCTTCAGGCAGGTAACTGCCTGGCTCAGAGCGGCATTCTCTACTTCCACCCACTCCCGCTTTTCCTCTGCTGCCACCACCTGTACTGCGGCTACACAGGGAAGACGCCTGGGCGCTAGCAGTCAGAGCCTGCACATTCCACATATCCCGTTCCTTCTCCAACGCATGAATTGTACTCCCAGGTGGAACCGCCCCGGGATCCAGGGGTCCGCCCCTTTCTTTTGGAGCCATTCTAACAACACCCCAGGCAGAGGCGCCGCTCCCCAAGGGGGAGGTGTCTTCTCGCTCAGGCTGCTTTGCCTTTTTCTTCCCCTTGCCCCATAGTGGCATACTTAACAGCAGTGTCCTTTTCTCCCTGCAGTGGGTTGCTAGCCTGCCACCTTTTCACACAGGCTCGAGCTGGACCCACCTAAGAGACTACCGGGGGTGGGGGGGCATCAGGGGATTTACACCTAATTCTCTCCCTTGCCCTACACCGACACTCAACAGTGGCGTCTTTCTCTCCCTGCAGTGGGTTGCTAGCCTACCACTTTTTCACGCAGGCTCGAGATAGACCCACCGAAGAGACCACCGGGGAGAGAGCGGGGGTGGCACCAGGTGACCCCTACTCTTGGGTCAAATTCTCCACTAAGCTGCCTGCATTCTCCACCATTAATGTTACCCGAAATTGGCCCAGCTAGTAAGCTTAGGGAGGACTAATGACCCACCAGAGTTTGGCAGAAAGCAGCACGTTTATTATATTGATAGCTAAGCTCAAAAGGTGGGGGGGGGGTGTCACATTCACACTCGCATCCTCACGCTCCTAGGACAGGCATGGCACAGGAGATGTCAGGATCCTTCAAGGTAAGTGTCCCACAGCACAGTGATGGACAGTGTGATGAAGGTAAGTCTTCCCAAGGCACAATGGAATGCAACGCAGCGAACCACTGGCCAGGCGGTCCGGGCGAAAGGGAGGTACAAGCTTGTGAGGGCACTCCTGAGCACATGGCCCCTTCCCCTTTTAAGGACCTGCTCCTCCTGGCCTGCGACTAGAGATGACTTGGCTGCGTCTGGTTGGTCACACTCTACCTCAGACAGCGTCCATCAGTGTCCATGCATTGGGTGTGTGATCGCTGCCTAATTAGAGTCCCAGACACCTTGTCTACCTGGGAGCTCTTCTGATCTTCCAGCTGTTCAACCAGCCCATTCATCCCACAAGCATTTCAGGAGGGAGGGGGAGGGGGAAAGCCACTTCACAGGTATTCAGAAAGGGAGAGGAGACAAAGTGGGGGGGAAGCATAACAGACCTTTTGAGCATACAGGTTACACATAGCATACAGATCACTGCTGCTCCTACAACAATGATAGCTGTCTTCAGATACTTGAAAGGCTGACATAAAAAAGATGGATGTAGTTCTTTGTCCACAGAGGGCAGGACAAGAAATAGTAGGTTCAAACTACAGCATAGCAGATTTAGATTGAATCTCAGGAAAAACTTCCTAACTGTAAAAACAGTAGGACAAAGGACCAGACTGCCTAGGGAGGTTGTGGAAGCTTCTTCACTGGAGATTTTCAAGAGGAGGCTGGACAGCCATCTGCCTTAGATGGTTTAGACACAACAAATCCTGCATTTTAGCAGGGGGTTAGACTAGATGACTCTTGTGGGCCCTTCTAATCCTATGATTCTAATGCAGAGGTGGGCAAACTATAGCCCACGGGACCTTCCTGCCGGGCCCATGAGCTCCCGGCTGGGGACGCTAGCCACTGACCCCTCTCCTGCTGTTCTTCCTCCCCCGGAGCCTCAGCTCACTGCGCCACTGGCGCAATGCTCTGGGCAGCGGGGCTGCAGAGCCACGGCCTGACCCGGTGCTCTGTGCTGCATGGTGGTATGGCTGGCTCCAGCCAGGTGGCACGGCTGCCTGTCCTGGTGCTCAGGGCGGCACGGCTTCAGCGCCGCCAGCCACCGGTGCTCCAGGCAGTGCAGTAAGGGGGCAGGGAGCGTAGGGGGGGAGGGCGGTTGGATAGAGAGCAGTGGAGTTTGGGGTGGTGATCAGGGGACGGGGGTGTGGATGGGGTTGGGACGGTCAGAGGTCAGGGAACAGGCGGGTTGAATGGGAGCAGGGGAACCGGGGGGGGG